CTTTCTCTTTTGTGATTTGAATCAAATCCACCCTGAAGCGACTGCCTGGAACCGTAATAGCAGAGCATTGGTTGTAAGCCTCTCCTAGGGAAGTGTCGAGCCTGGTTTTGTAACTTTCTGGTTTGGGTACTTTGTCGTCAAGGGCCTAATAACTCAGCTTAATCAGGCTTCTGCTTTGAAGACGGCAGAATAATACCAACTTGTGTACACACTGATCCAGTGATTAGATACTGCAAACTGAGATAACAGCCACAATTCAGAAGACCTCTGAACTCAGTTTGCATAGCTTTGAATGGGTTTGGACGCCCTCTCGGCCCTCCCATAATGTTTGCCCTCTCTATCTCATGAAGCCCTGCATTTCAAAAGCCATGGTAGGAGGCAGTTACAGCCAAACAAACAAACAAAAAAAAACACACCTTTTTCTGTTCCTGGAAGATGAATGTGACTTGAATGAGAAGTCTATTGTAATAGTTTTATTGCGTGTTTGCATATGAGCCCTTTTACAACACAACGGTGTTGCAAATAAAATGAAATAGATAGTTGCAGAGCTAAACCTGGTATCACGTGTTGTATATTTATATCGGAGCAGTTGTGTAGAGGTTAGGGTTGGAACTGGGGCCCATAGAGATGGGTGTTTTTAATTTTTTTTACTACTGCTGGGCGCTTCTCAATCCAAACCTTCCTCTTGTCTTTTTAAAAGGAAATATTAAATGCTTTAATGAATTTACCTGTCGTGGTAAGATGAATATGACTCTCTACTCAAAGAAGAAAGAGTTGTCTAGAATAATGCCTTAAGGCTTTTAAAAGAAAAGAAAAAAAGGCACAAGGTAGGAAACCAAACCAGGGGAAAGTAACAGATAACCAGATATAGCGAGGATGGTTGTTGCATGTACCCGTTCCCGGTTTTTCTGAAACAGAAAAGTGGGAACTGAGGTGACCTGCCTTCATTGTTGGGGTAGTGAATGTGAAGAAAAGGGTGTTTGAAGTTTCTCTCCAAAATAAGGATGGAGCCGCGGTGTTGGGAAGGTGGAAGCGATGCTGTCCAAGCACAAGGAGAATTGGTCCGGTTCTCATTGTCTGTCTGTCTGTCTGTCTGTCTGTCTAGCGCAGTACTTCCTTCCTTCCCACAGTGGCCAGCTAGATGCCTCCGGGAAGCCTGAAGCGGGGGGGCACATCCTCTGCCGTCCGGGACAGGAGCGTTCAACCACCAGTACAAGAGCTGATATGGGGCCCTTCTGAACAGGAGCCATCTTGACGGCTTCTAGCCTGCACGAATTTATAGCAGTCCCAAGTCGGCAGCTTGGGTCCTTCTTGTGGCATGGAAATCCACAGTTCACCTTTAGTGCTGTACGAAGAGCACATTTTAATGTTTTGACTCTCAGCTTGAATGGGTAACTCTGGATTCTAGTACAATGACACAGAGAAAAAGGTTTCTTGGTCTATGCTTCTCAGATAATGAGACGTTGGGGAATGGGATTGGGGCTTTCGCACTTACGCTGCCGTCGTGCCTCTCCCTCTCTTCATGAACCCGATAAATTCATTCACAATGCAATTATGCGGAATTATCCTGCTGCTACATTGAGGGTCTGTAGACTGGAGGATGAATGGGATACTGGAATTAGAAAAGCCAGACCGTAGGATGTCTGTGACCTTTGATGTGCATTCTGATGTAGCAGGAGTGAGCCCACCCTTCGGGTGTTTGCACCCCAAACTTTGTAGGGCTTTAGAAGGTCAAAAGGCAGCTCCTTGTATTTGGCCTAAAGGCAGATGGGCAAGCAGTTCCGTTCCCTCGGAATCCATATCACGAGAGCCGGTCCAGCGTGCACCCCTTAGCCCTCTCATAGTATTTGGCCTAAAGGCAGATGGGCAAGCAGTTCCGTTCCCTCGGAATCCATATCACGAGAGCCCGTCCAGCGTGCGCCCCTTAGCCCTCTCATAGCTGCCTTCTGCACATCTCGAAGCTTCTGAGTTAATATGTCCAGATAGGCGGGATAGAAATAAAATAAATAAAATAAATAAATAAATAGCTGCCTTCTGCACAACTCGAAGCTTCTGAGCTGCCTTCAAGGGCAGTCCAGTGTGCATTGCATGACAGTAGTCCAGTCAGGACATTAGCTGAACCACTAGGGCCAGTCTGCCCCAACCCAGAATGTCATAGGTAGGTACACCAGCCAAATTGCCAAGGCCATGTCATTTACTCGTGACTTAGTGGGATCAAAGAGTACCTCATACTATGCACTTGCGCTCTCCAGAAAAGTGCGGCCTGCTCTAGAACTTGCTGCAAGATGCCTTCTTATTCATGGTTGGTAGTTTTAAATATTGCCTTTTAATTATGCTGACCGCTGCTGTAGGCTCATAGTTTTCAACTTGAAATGTGGTCTTTCATTGTTGTAAACCACCTTGGGTCCTTTTCAAGGAAAAAAGAGGGATAAAAATGTTTCAAATAAATAACTAAAGCCCTAAGAACTACTTTGCCCCCCAAGACCCCTTTCTTATGCCGTTCTTATTCTTAGGTTTCCATAACAAGGATGGGACCATGAATACATAGGAATCCAAGATGTGTCTAGGCATCCTTCACTCTCGAGAGACTAGGGTAACATGCTCTGTCTGGAGGACTTTTACATAGGAAACCAAGATGTGTCTAGGCATCCTTCACTCTCGAGAGACTAGGGTAACATGCTCAGTATGGAGGACTTTGAAGAGCGTCTCGTGTGACTGAGAAGGCCAGTACGAGAGTGACCATCCCTTCCACACTGAAGACAAATGCAGTCTGTCCCCTGTCCCAGCTCCCTGATTTGACTGCTTTCGTGACTTCCTCTTTGCCTCTGCCTGCTGGGCAAGGGTCTCTTCCAATTGGGAGAGGCCATGATGCAACGCCTGCCTCCAGGCTGATCGCTCAGAGGTCAAGGTTTCCCATCTGTTGAGATCCATTCCTAAGGCCTTCAGATCCCGCTTGCAGATATCCTTGTATGGCAGCTGTGGTCTCCTTCTGGGGCAATTTACCTGCACTCATTCTCCATACAGGAGATCTTTTGGAATCTGACCGTCAGCCATTCTCACGACATGCCCGAGCCAGTGTAGACATAGGAATCCAGGATGATGGGATAATAGGGAAAGCACCATGCAATTCAGAGAGAAGTATCCAGTTCTCTCTCCCCCCCCCCCATTCTGTTCTTCTACTCTAATGAGCCTTGTGGTGCAAGGGTTAAACTACAGTACTGAAGTCAAGACTCTGCTCACAACCAGAGTTTCATCCCGATGGCCTCGGGTGACCAGCTCGGGGTTGATTCAGCCTTCCATCCTTCTGAGGTTGGTAAACTGAGGACCCGGCTTACTGATGGCAATGGGGGTTTAATGCGTAGTCTGCATAATTAAATTCCAAACCAGCCAGAGAATGTTTTAGGCACCGTGGGGTGGTATATAAGCAGCACACTTTGCTTTCCCTGCTCTTCCCAGCATGTTGTAAAAGCAAAGTATCACAACTGCAGGCTCCAAGACTATCAGAGAGGACTTGCCATAATAAATATATTGCTAATGATTTGTTTATTTATTGTGTTATTCCAGTTGTGTCTTAACTGTGTGATTACCTTTCATGTTAGAACCAGTTAGACCAAGGACGGGAAACCACTTTCAGGCACTCAAAAGTTCATACCCAGCTATGGGAGCTTAAGTAACTTGTAGAGAGTAACTTGAGTCCTTGGAGAGACATCCCCCCCACATCTTTTACAATGGGGAAAACCCTGCATGAAAGTATCTGGTAGGGAGCCGGTTTGGCCTCTTGTGGTGGAGGATCTCCACCCTAACATAATATACGGTGTTTCCCGGAAAATAAGACAGGGTCTTATATTAATTCTTGCTCCAAAAAACACTTTACTGTATGGCTTATTTCCAGGGGATGTTTTATTTTTTCCATGTACAACAATCTACATTTATTCCAATGCAGTCCTGTCTTCTTCCGGTTGCTGCACAAGGGTGGGGTGGGGTGGTGCTGCACAGGGGTGGGGTGGGGTGGGGTTTCACTTAATTGGGGGTTATTTGGGGGATAGGGCTTATGTGACGAGCATCCTGAAAAAAACCCATACTAGGTCTTATTTTCAGGGAAACGGGCACTTCTTACCTCCGTGAATTTTTAAACAGCAGAGTAATTCTAGAAAAGAGAAAAGAATCTGCTAGAAAATTCATTTGAGAAGGATTTCGTTCATACTAAAAAAAAAAGCTGAGAGGGGGAGAGAAAGGAGGAAATAGAAAACTTTTATTGAACTAGATAGATGTTCTAAGTCTGCAGGTGAACTTTTTAATTTTTGAAGATATTGGTGTTCTGAGCAAAGGCCAACTCGAGCGGTTTCTTGCCTGTCCAGTCCTGCCTGCTTGGCCGCCTGGCTTGCTTTAAGAATGAAGTCACGCCTGCCCGGTCAGCTGGTTGACATACCGCTCTTTTCTGCCCAAAGGGAATGTGTAGCAGCTCCGTTCTTGGATCAAAAAATCTTCTTGGAGGGCTCTAAGGGGAAGGCCAGCACTCAGTCATTCTCTTCCACCACCACCCCCGGCCGCCCCCTGCGAGCATGGCATGACCATAGCATGACCATAGCTTCCTTGTGCGGGCTCAGCATGTTGAGATGTTGTGCGCAAACATGGTTTGGTGACCTTGCGAATGGCAAGGTGGTGCTTTGGTAGCAGCTACACCGCCCACGTTGCATCTGTAATCCAGGTTCCCAGTTCCCATGAGTTGATAAGAGAGGGCTCTCCGATTTCCAGCATGAGAAAAGGTGGAAAGGGGATTTGGCCAACTTGATGGGCGTGATGAAAATGGTTCCAGCAGGAAGCCCTTGTTGTTGAAAACGCAAAGACAACCTGACTGGGTGCAGATGCTGATCAAAGGAGAGAAGCCAACTTCTGCAGCTAACTGTTTATTTCCAGATGACAGCCTGTTGCTCCGAGCCTCTCCCCGGCCGGGTTTTTCTTAAACACCACCTCTAATTGTTTTTCCTCTCTCTTTTCAGTTGTAGCCGCCTCCGACAAATTCAGAGCATTCTGACTCAAAGCAGCAAATCTCAACCAGATGGAATCCTGTGCATTTTGGGTAAATGCTTTTAGTTATTAATAATACATTGAGAGCTTTTGTTTGTTTTTTGCAGTGTGCAAACTAAGCTTCTGAACTAGTGAAGTTTCAGAAGTTTCTTTTGTGTGTGAAACACTCGAGGAGTCCGCACATGTAACTCATTCATTACTATGTGCTTATGATTTTTTCCTGGAACGGCCACATTTCTTGGATGTATTCCGTTAGCCATCCAAGATCCTTCAGGCGTCTCTCATCATTACAACCTAACCGTGGTGACCAAAGCAATTAGCCAGGTTTAGAAGATGTAGCTGCAGAGATAGGTCTTAATGTAGATCTTAAGCTGTCCCCCAAGTTTTTGAAGTTTGGTCAGGTGCTTCTGCTGGACCACGTATCCATACTTTGGGAGCTTGCATGCACGGAGCAGTCTTTAATTGGTGAGAGAGTGCTTCTAATGTGGAAAGAATGAGTCTCTGGGCACGGAAGGCTAAACAATACAGCTGGAGTCTTTGGCTGCCTCTGGCAGATTTATCTCTAAATAATTGAAGCAGCACTGCAAAAATTTAAGCAATCCGTTCTGACTTCCTGGACTGTTGTGAGTAACCCTGAGAGTACAGTGTGTGTGTGTGTGTGTGATGAGTGTGACTCGTTAATTTTTCCTTTTTATTCCTCTTTTTCTCTCTCTCTCTCCCTCTGAAGTGTGTTGCTTCGGAAGACTTCTTCCTTATTGCATTTCTGTGTTTTGGGTTGGTAAAGTTAAATGCAGCATATAAGCTGGCACAGAAATAGTGACCCGGGTCCAAGGACAGTCCACACACAAAGGATAAAGATAATTAGATAGGAAAATAACAAGGATCAAATGGATTCACTGGTTGGGCAAAATTGCACCGTTTCTCAAGAACAGCTATCTGCTTGCCATTGTGGTCACAGGATATTATCCATCTCTGAGTCATGAAAAAATCTCTGGGGGTAGGGTGAAAACTGAATAGATGAAGACAGAACAAGACACACGTTAAAAAGCGAATTTTGAATTTCCAGCTCTCTGACTCGGCTGTCTCGTTCTGTTTGGCCCAAAGACCTAATGTGGTCAGTCTACCCATAGTGATTCATGCGGATCTCCGCATGTGGTTTTCTCCCAAGTGAAATCTAAGCTCTGCAGAAGGGGCCTAGTCTTGAGTTCTTACTGGGAAGTTGGTGTCCGTTAGCTTAATCCAAAGTAAGAGGAACAGATTGTTTGGATTCCTAAAGTTTGGAGCCATTCAGAGAACAAATACTTTTGGTGGACAGAAGGCTAGATGGCAGCTAAATTAATTCCTTGCTCCCAAAGGAGGTGAATGCTGTGGCATTTGAGCTTGTCTTTCACCATGTGCAGAAATGATTGGTATGCAACTATTCCTTCTTATTTATTTATTTATTTGATTTGATTTGATTTGATTTATACCCTGCCCATCTGGTATATTCTATCACTCTGGGTGGCTAACAACGAACATATATACAATTAAAATAATATAAATCCATTAACATCATTGGTGACAAAACATTCCAAAAGATAATAAATAATAGATAGCCAAGAGAAAGGAAGTTAAATGCTGACAGGAGGGAAGGCCTGGATGTAAAGCCATGTTTTTAGTTGAATTTTAAATGTACCCAGCGTAGGGGCCGCGCGAATCTCAGGAGGGAGATTGTTCCAAAGGCAAGGAGCCACCGCCGAGAAGGCCCGGTTTTGAGTCTTTTCCCTCCGGGCCTCCCTCAGCGTTAGGCTCCTCAGCCTCACCTCCTGGCTCATGCAGGTGGTCTGGGTAGATCTTGGTGGGAGCAGGTGTTCCGCCAGGTATTGAGGTCCCAAACCATTTAGGGCCTTGTAAGTAAGTATTAAAACTTTGAAATTGATGTGGAAACGAATGGGCAGCCAATGCAGTCTGGCCAGGGTAGGAGAAATATGCTGGTGTTTTCTCACTCCAGTAAGGAGTGTGGCCACTGCATTCTGCACCATCTGAAGTTTCCGCATCAACCTCAAAGGCGGCCCCACGTAGAGCGCGTTGCAGTGGTCTAATCTTGAGATTACGAGCGTGTGCACCAACCTAGTGAGCGCCCCCCCGTAGTGAGCGCCCCCATGTCAAGGTAGGGTCACAGCTGGGCTATCCGCCAAATATGGAAAAAGGCGGAGCGGACAACCGACGCCACCTGCATTTCCATGGTGAGCATCGGGTCCGGATGTACTATAGAAATTCCAGCAATTTCTCTTCCTAACTATCTGTGGGAGGAGGGCCTGCATGAGGAAGTGTATTTTAAGTGTTAAAGGACCTGGTTACCGTATTAGAGGCAGAGTGGGGAGATGCACAGTTGCCTAGAAGCAAACTCAGCGGAATATGGTGGAATGTTTTAGGAAGCACAACACGCATCAAACAATAGTCCTGTGTTTGAGGAGAGTTAGTGACAGACGATCCACCAGCCCTTGCAGCAGGCGTGTCTACCTTCAACAGGCTAGGTAAAGGTTCCCCTTGACATTTAGTCCAGGTGTGTCCGACTCTAGGACGCGGTGCTGATCCCCATATCTAAGCCGTAGAGCCAGCGTTTGTCTGAAGACAGTTTCCGTGGTCATGTGGCCAGCGTGACTAGACACAAAACACTGTGATCTTCCCACCGAGGTAGTACCTATTTATCTACTCGCATTTTTGCATGCTTTCAAACTGCTAGGTTGGCAGGAGCTGGGACAAGTGAAGGGAGCTCAGTCCGTCGCGTTGATTTGATCTTACAACTGCAGGTCTTCTGACCTTGCAGCACAGAGGTTTCTGCAGTTTAACACGCAGCACCACCACGTCCCTGATTCGGGCTAGTCTAATGTATTGCCAATATGAGCCCTGTTATATGCATCGTAATATTATGGATATTGTAATATCAGTATGCATCCACTGGAGCTACGCCGGACCCCCTCCCTGCTTACGTTTAGAAGGCAGCTCAAAACACTGCTTTTTAGGGAGGTCTTTCACCTTGACCCTGCTTCATTTATTGTTATATGGGATGCTTACTTTATTATGTTGTGGATTGCCCAGAGTCATGCACTGCACTGGTGAGGAAGTACTGTACAGATGTTGAATGAATGGATGGATGGATGAATCAATGAATGAATGATGACAAACAAAAATATTTTTGTTTCCCTGGAAATACGTTGGGCATCCCATCCTTTCCCCATATGAATGAATGAAGAATTGACCCTACACCCTATAATTTCTGTGCTGGAAGGAGGTCACGCACTAATGACTTTAATTCATTTTCAGGGTTTGTGTAGTCAGATCCGTCTTGTGTGAATAAGAACTCCTGCAGTGCGGGCTTTGGTTAGGTTAATAAACGGGCACCGGGAGCCTTTATTTAGGAACCTCTTTGCTGTGTTCCTGAAGGCGGTGACCTGAAAGTAAGAGTGATTTCTATATCAGGGTGGGAGGAGCTGCTGAATCTATAGTGTCGTTGGAAAACAATTAACACAGAGCTGATGCAAAAAAAAATGCTTGCCATCTCTAAGAGAAAGTGTTTGCTTGGAGTTGCTTTAGATTGACGGATGCTCGAGGTGTTTTATGATTCAGGGATTTTACATCCTAAATTAAAAATCAAGCCAGATGGAGGGTGGCGATGGTGGTGGCGAGACACCAGGTAGGGGTCAACCATGTTTCTAGGCTGTATAAATATTCTGGTTTGTATGACCCGCTTGACTTTGAAAGGTGCCTTAGTGGCCTAGTTCTCCTTCTGCTGCTTTCCCCGAGTCTTCGTCTGGCCCCTGCCTATAAATCTGGATTTGCTGGCAGCCTCTGAGCCGTATCCCAGCATAACCCTGTGTGAAAGCCTGAACTGAACGGTTAGACCGGAAGCCGAGCAGCCCAAGCGCCAGCCGGCTCCGCGGTGGAAGAGGCAGCCAGATGTTAACTGCAATCTGATCCTGAGCAACCGTAACCCTTTCTCAGGAGTTGTGGCCTAATCGAAACATTGAGAACCGGAGATGTTCTGTTCTGTTTCTCAGATTTTTATGTCTTTGGGACCATCTGAAATTAATGTACGCTCTTTGCCTCTTTTTTTTTTTTAGTCCCCTAAATCTTGCCAATCGAAACGTTGAGAATCGGAGATGTTCTGTTCTGTTTCTCAGATTTTTATGTCTTTGGGACCATCTGAAATTAATCTATGCTCTTTGCCTCTTTTTTTAAAACTGATAGTCCCCTAAATCTTGCCTGAAATACTACCCCACAGTTCCAGTTCACTTTAGAAAATGGTTTTTTCACCTCTTTTCTTTTCTTGGAGGTGAAATGTTGGGCCACGCTTTTAAAAAGTTCCTCTTCTCTCCTGATTTCTTCCATGTGTGGCATTTCTGTCCCCTTGCTTGGATTGTATCGGTTTTCAATGCACTGTAGGTCAGTGGAGACTTGACCTACAGACTTTTTGACTTGAGAACCGCCTTCCAATACGGATTAAGTTCTCAAGTCAAGACCCCACTGTAGTGCCCCACAGTTCCAGTTCACTTCAGAAAACCTGTTTTATCACCTCTTTTCTTGGAGGTGCAGTGTTGGGCCACGCTTAAAAAAAAGTTCCTCTTCTCTCCTGACTTTCCCCATGTGTGGTATTTCTGTCCCCTTGCTTGGATCGACTTCCCACTTGGTTTCTGTTTTACGCCTTGGGCTTCTCCAGGCAAGATCTGGTCTTGTCTGCTTCCAACTTTGCGTTCCTTGGGTCGCCTTTTCCGAACCCCTGATCCAAAGTGGGGCTCCATCGCATTTCAGAAATGTTGCAGTCGAGTCAAGATGTTGTGGTTCTGTCCGGCTTCTCCTGTGCCCAGCTCAGATGGCTGAAAAAGACTGCCAGGTTTCCATTTTTTTCCAAAACTACCTGCTTGCTGGTGGTGAGGATGTGTTTCAGTTAACTGGAGGCACAGCTCTTGCACGGAGTGGTGTGAATGGTGAAAAGTGCCTTATATTGACTCATAGGCCGTTCATCCATCTTGTTCAGAGTTGTCGGCTGTCACCGCGAGCAGCTCTCCAGAG